GCATTTAATTCATTAAAAGTCTGAGACAATGTAGGGAAAAAAGCTTTCAGTCTCAGTAACGTTTGATGTTCCCTCTGCTCTGGCTACTCGCTCTGACAAATCACACTCTGAAAGATTTCAGTCGTATTTGGTGATCCCTGAGATGCTTCTCATTTCCATAAACTTTTGAAATTTGTTTTTCAAGCTGTAACAGTTTTGGCAGAAGTCAGATGCCTACAGAGAGCTGTCAGTCAAACGGAGTCTGAGGGACTGAGGTGACCAGAGTCAAACAGATTAAAGGCAGACGGTTTTAGATCAATTCTTTTTAAGTCGGCATGAAGAGAAAATGTTTAAAACAACTCAACAACTTTAAAGATAAAAAGGGGTATGTTTATAAAAGTTTCCTTCATTTCTTCATAATTTAAAAAATATGTTTATTATTATGTGGAGAGGTGTGTTTCAATTAAAAAATAACATAAAATCATGAAAACTATGGAAATGGACTCATATGTCCTTTTCATGAATTACTGATGTCACAATGAAGAATCTATCATCCTTCAATAGAAATATTWAAAAAACTACATAAATATTTTCATTTGTTTTAAGAACTGTAATATTTGCCAGTTTTCTTTCCCAGGCTTGTAAACATCCCTCATTTTCTTCCAAATGGAGCAATGGCCTTTATGGTCAAACAGGTAAGTTTTTTTTTTTCATCAAACCTCAGTCCATGTTTTCAAAAATTAAGGTTTTTGTCCCAGTGTGCCAACCCAAAAACAGCTGTACCTAAAGCGGTTTTACAGATTTTGAGCGGTAGCTCAAAGTCATCCACAACCTACTTTGAATGTGACATCTTGCAACACTGCAATGCTTTTTTGAGGTTAGACCAACACACAGTGGTGGGCACCAGTACGCTAAAGCACAAATCCGCTAACTGCGGACCTAAATAATATTTCATTTGSACTTTAGCGGACTTACTAATTTTTATAATTCGTAAACAGATTTGCGCTTCCTAAAATTAAAATGCAGTACCGCTAACAACTAATTATCTACCAGTCATCATTATCTTGAACAGAAGAAGGTATGACTGTCAATGAATCACAACACATGTGATGTATCCAACAGCACCCCTCCTAGATAAACGCACTTATTGTGAAAGTATACATCCTTGAAGACTGTTGCTTTGGGTCACGGTTCTGATTTCCCACAATGCTTTGTGTCTGCTTACATAGCAGGAAGGCAACAGCTAAAACAGTAAATGTTTGTAATCATACTAAAATTTTGTATGTATTGATTTATTTTTCTTTACAATCGGAGCTCCTTTAAAAAAAATAAAGTTTAAACACTGGAGCTCAATACTTGACGTAATTGGTCGAAGCAATCGGCCAACGGGGTTAGAGAGGCAGAAATGATTTAAAGATGTTATGCTGATGCAGACTGACATCTAGTGGTCAACTGGAGCAACTACATGGAAAACTTTAAAATCCCAGCTCTTATTTTGAAGGG